GTGTCTGAGGCTAGATTTGAACCCAGGTCTTTCTGACTCCACATCCTTCACTCCATCCAGTGTACTACTTAGCCACTGTTATTAATATACTTAGTTGTATTATTTTTCCTATTTTCCAGAAGAGGAAACTGAGGCTTGGAGAAGTTAAATTATTTTCCCTTGGTCGCCTAACTCATAAGTGTCAAAGGTTAAGATAAGATTAGATGGCCTCTGAATCTTTTCCAACTCTGAGATTCTGTGCTAGCTGCAATTTTCTTCAGTCAAAAGGTAGGAGAATGACAGGGTTTAAGTGACCTCTGTTTCTACCTCCATGAGTAAAAAGTGGAGCAGCCTTGCTGTTCCTCAGTGCATCCTAGAGATGCTCCTGATCTGGGTGGCTTCTGCCATCTGATTCAAAGTCAGAAAGTGTTCTTTCTCCAGCTTGTCATGCAGAATTAACAGGGGAGTTATTATAAAGACAAGGAAAGGGAGGAAAAAAAAATCTTTGCCTTGTTCTCTGCCTCGGCACCACTCTCCTCGCCCTTCTTTTATTTTCGTCCTCTCTTTTTGGCTTTCCTTAATCTTTCTCTCTTTCTTCCTCCTTCTTTGCCCTGCTCCTCCCTTTCTATTTTCTTCCTTTGCCTTCTACTCATGACTCCAGATGATCTTGGGCAACTCACTTTCCTTCTTCATATGCTGGGCTTGGAATCAGGAAGACTTTAGTTCAAATTCTGTTTCAGACACTAACTAGTTGTGTCTGAGTCACTTAACTTCTCTCTCAGCCTCAGTTTTCTCATCTGTAAAATGTGGGTAATAATAGCACCTACCTCCTAGGATTTTGGTGAGCACCAAATAAGAGAACATATGTAAAGCACTATATAAATGCTAGCTATGATTATTCAGACTGGGAAAAGGCACAGTTAAAACATTTTATTTTGAAAAAGTTCCCGAGCACATAGAAAGCCCACTTGTTGAATCAGCCTTGTAAGACTATCCTACAAAGAACCTCTAGGCTGCCCAGCCACATGCCCCTACTTGTATGGGAGGGGAAGGGATATTCAACAACTTCTCATTCTCACATATGAAGACTTCCCAAACCCATCAAAAGCTGGAGGGGTTTTTGTTCATGAAACAACTTCCTTTGGAGCCGCCTAGCTGTCTCCACTCCTAGCAGTATTCTGTTTGCTTTGAGCCAAGCATACGGGGTCTTTAAAAATAAATGGGTCTGAATCTGTGCATTGGTCTAGCCAGGTCTTCCTCCATTGGGCTGATTATGATGATAGCCTTGTTTGTTCTGGCTGATCTTGGCTTCAGCCTAACACAATCATCTCTCTCCACCAACCCACCCACTCTAACCTTCCTCTTGGAGCCCACCAAGAGTACAGACTTTGTGGCTTTGAGGCAGGAAATTAGGAGAGTAACAGCACTTCTGTTCTTGATAAGAAGCCAAGGGAAATTGTGGGGGACTGTGTGGAAACAGTGCTCTGACCTCCTTCCTCAAGACCAGAAAGGTTATATTGACAGGCTTACTAGCAGATCAAACTATTTTGATTAAAGCGGTTCAGGAAAATCAGTATTCAGTTCCCTTAGATATTTTATTTTGTAAAAAAAAAAAAAACAAGCTAGTCAACTCAGAGTGCTATTGTGTTAAAGAAGAATCAGCTTGACAGTTTTGTTTCTTCTCTCCTTCCTATTAAAGGAGCCATGGGAACCGAAGGCCAGCTGTGTTTTCAGAACATTTCAGTGCTTGGGGGTCCTTGTGGTCAGACCCTGAGTAGGCAGCAAAGCCCAGTCAGCTAAAGGAGAGACAGAGACATATGAACTGGCCTGGACTCTCCAAAGATGGTGATGACCGGCTAAGAGCTTTCAGAGGCCATTCCCAGTACCCCCAGCTGCTCCTGCCCTCTCCTCAGTTACTTCCCATGTTCTCTATCCATGTTATATACTTACCTTTCTGATGTACGTGATGTCGTCCCCAGTAGAATGCAAACCTCATATGGGTAGGAGCCATTATTGTTTTTTGTTATTTATTTAGCACAGTGCTGGGCACATAAGAGCTTAATAGATAAATAAACATTTGTTGATTTCAGTTTCAATTACCTTTGCGTCTTCCATATAACATTTTCCATAGATTTAGAACTGGAAGGGACCTCAAAGGTCATCTAGTCCAACTCATCCATCTAAAAGATGAGTTAACTAATGCCCAGAGAGGTTAATGCTGCTAGGGTATATAGTAGATAAAGAGTGCAGGGCTTAAAACCAGGAAGATGAATTCAAATCCTATTTTAGTGATAGTTGTATCATCCTACACAGCCTCTGTTTCCTCATCTGTAAAATGAGGTTGTTGGACCCAAAGGCCTGGAAGGTCCCTTTCAGCTCTAAATCTACGACCCTAAAAGCAGCTTGTCCAAGTTCACACAGGGAGTAAGCCTCAGAGGTAACATTTGAACCCAGGTCCTCTGACCACAAAGTCAATCTTAGACCCTTTGGTCCAGTTTACTCTACTTGACCGTATGCTGAAAACCTGGATTTCTCCCTCCTTAGATCAGTCATTGGTTTGGTGGACTTCAGGCTCTTATTTCTGTTCTTATAGTTCCATATTTCCAGGACCCAAACTGCCATGAATTTGAGGACAGAAAACAAATAGGATGTCTACTTAGAGGAGTGCTGGGTTTGTGCGAAATAGGTATCCAGAGGCTCCTAGCTACATGGCCTGAGTCCACTTACGTCAGTCCTGTAGCTTCTGAACTTTACCATCCATGTAGCTCTCTTTGGAAGGAACACAATACCAAGGGGAAGGGAGAAGATGGTAAGTATGTCTGTGGTGATACTAGGGACACACTGAAATCACCCACCTTGTCTTCTAAAATGTACACCTTTTATTTTTTTATTTTGCTTTTTCTAACAGTAATATAGAAACAAATAATCATAAAAAATAAAATTAGAAATTGTCTGTCAACTATGTAATAGCACTTGGTATTGCTAGGAGATACATTGGAGGAGATCCAAAACTGGAGAAGACCTTTGTCAGGATATCTCAGGGTCTCCAGGCCACTATGATTGGCTACTATAGGTATGAAGTCATTAGACAATGTTACTTAGACACAACAGTATGTCTGCTGAAAGTCACACCTAAGGGATACTTGGCACAGGAACTGATGAACAGATTAAGAAAGCAATGCAAGCAGGAGACAAAATACAAACATTGGGCCAGATAACTACCCTTTATAAATCTGGTGACTCCACTGGCTGAGGGTTAAGGCCTACCTAGAACAATTAAATTTGTGTTGTGGAGAGTGGGGAGGGGAAAGGAGATGGAGCTTATCTGTGTAACCATTTGCCTAAGGCAGGACCAATCCACAAAGGAACTCTCTCAACACAAAACTATGACTGAGACAGGAAAAGTGATAGGAATGCCCCACCATTTTAAATGAATCACTCCAGGAAAATGGAGACTATTAAGATGCCTGCAGTCACATGTCAGAAACTGTCTACCTTCTCTGAAGTCCCACTGTGCTTTATACCAGTCTCTTCTATGCACTTATCCCTTGATTGTAGGTATTTGTATACTTGTCTCTCCTACTAGACCATAAACTCTTGGTGGTGGTGGTAGTGGTGGTGGTGATGGGGTAATCCATATTATATTTACCAGTGTAGCCCTCTCTATGCCTAGGACAGTTCCATGTACTCAATAACTATGAGTTATATAAGCGAATGTATTGAGTCAATTAATAGGTCAAACCATATTTTTTCCATCTATCTTAAGGGCTGATTTTTGCATTATCTATTGGATTGATCATGACTCAGATTATTTACTTGGGCTAAAAATGGGAGTGTAATTCAAATTGGTCAGTTCCCATCAGATAGGTCTAAAATTGTGCTGGCTGAACATATGTTTGAGGCATGTGAGTACATTTGTGAGTGCCTGGGTGTCTAGTTTCTGTATGTGCGACACCATTTGTATATGTCTCTGTATACATGGGAGAAGACAGTATCTTCTTTATCCCATAATAAACTAGATTTCTGTTCACACTAATACTGTACTTCCCCATTGCATTAAAGGCCTTTTTCTCCAAGAAGCTCAGGAATGCCTCTTTAGAGTCCACTGGTGTTTTTAGGTAAGCATTGGAGTCATTATTAAGCTAGTCTCCAGCTTCTACAAAATGCAGTTAGAGCAGGAGTCCAGGACCTGCCCTTGTTCTTAGACCTTCCTCACCAAGGCTATACTTGGGCTACAAACTTCCAAAGCTCTGGGTAAGTTTATCTTAGAACACTGTCTTGTCCTTCTGCCACCTGCTTCAGGTGACTGAAATAACCAAGTCCTTTGGCCCCCTAGAAAAGTCTGAAAGCAGTTCAAGTTATTGTTTACCAGCTATGAGTCATTGATTTCCCCCCCAAAACCTTCATGCTTCTTTTCTTTGCTCTTTCCCTTACTTATATATTCCAATGAATTAATTGCTTATGCTCACATTTTCACATAAAGGACAATTTTTATAGCCTAGGCTCTTATCTGCAAGGTATGGGTGTTTTTTGTCTTTGTTGGAGTTGTGCTATGAATTGGGAGAAAATGACTTTAAACAGGAAATAGAATAAAAACCCTTAAAAGTGTGTTGACCAATTCCCATGGAGCTTTAAAAAAAAAAAAAAAAAAGAGCAATGGGATGTTGTGCTTAAAGAGTGGTAATGTCAATCCATGTGCTCTCCTCTGTCCAGACACCACCTGGGGTTGGCCAAAACATTTCAAACTCAAAAGAGAGGAGTATACAGTGGGGAGGTAGACTGGGAAATTATGTGAGTTGGAATGCACAGGCAGTGTAAGGAGACCGCATTTAAAGTAAAAGTTAGGAGTTACTCTTGGAAGTTGAATCTAGAGAAATATAACCTGTATATTAATGGCTAAACTCACACATTACTAAGTAGCTTTATGACTTTGAACAAGTCATTGTATGCACAGAGCCTTCAAAATAAGGGAGCTGGATGAAGTGAGATCATTGGTTTTTTCTAGTTCTGAAATTAATGCTTTTGTAATTCAACTATTGCTGACTTGGGGATATTTTGACATATAATATTACATTGATTTTTTTCAGATTTGTTAAGTCTGAGTTCTCTCAGATACTGGCCCTCATAGTCTCAGTGAATATGGCCCTATGAAAAGAGAAAGCATTTCTTCTAGGACCGATGTTCTATTACATCAACCAGTTCCTCCCTTTGGATAGAATCATTCAGTTACCTGCTATTGTAAATAACTCTTTAATTCAATCATAATGGGGAAACTGGTTGGATGTACAGAGAAGCTTGGTGATAGCTGATTTTGATTGTCTTTGTGGGAAGGCAGTAAAAATGGAAATAAGGTTAGGGAGGTGGTACTACCAAGCTCAATAAAGAGGCATTTTCTAGCACTCATCAGGTGAGCCTGGAGGTACCCTTAGGAGGAAAATTGAGTTCAATCTATTGTGGTCTACATGGCAATCCCTTGGGCATGAGGGGAGATAGAGAAACAGAAGCAGAAGTACAGGGCCTCTTTGGAGGTTCTCATGGGTATTTTCTGCTCAAGGAGAGCAAAATCTAGGTTCAGGATCTGTCCCTAACTTGTAACACTGGAGAAGGCCCATCAGACTACCTGGCACAAATGGCAGTCTCTTCCAACTGCCTCCCAAGAGCCCGAGTCAAAAACTGGCAACAGTTGTACCTAGTCTTGCCAAAATGATCTGACTCTTGGATTGTAATGCCAGCACCCAGGAACATATGATCCTGGCTGTTGGTTTTAGGGGCTCTCTTTCCAGGAGGGCCTGTGTAAAAGTGTATCTGCTGCCTAACTGTACAAATGGTGGAGCCCTGCCACTTACTCAGAAGAACGCAGGCTCCTTGAGGGAAGACATTATTATTATTTTTTTCTCTTTGTATCCACTGTGCCTAGCACAGTACTTCAAGCATAATAGGTTCTTAATAAATGCTTATTGAATTGATTTGAATCGAATACATGGAGAGTACTTCCTGGTCAACACTGAGGGGACATTGACACTGAGATGGGTACACCAAGCACAAGGATCACCTCCCTATACTTTTGGGGGTACATGATATCTGATGCCCATGGAGATCCTTCCGGGACAAGGGTAGGGCCACAGTGCCTGGGGCAGGGAGACTTTTTCCTCCCTTTGGGAGCCCTGGTCATAGCACCAGTGATTTGTGTTCACAGGCACATGGGCATGGAATGGAGGGGAGGCTAGAGTAAGAGGTTGGAAGGAACCAATCTCTTACAGCACTATCACTAGTAAAACAGTTTTATAGAAGGATTAGTCAGATATTAAGTGGATAAGAAGCCCTGAAGGCTTCCATGACCCCATTAACATCTCCTTGAGAGCGCTAGATCCTCATTTCTGGTGGACCTGAGTCACCCCGGCACAACCCAGTCGTTGGGCAGGACCTGGTAGCTCCTCAGGAAGGTCGGCCCTGCTTGGGCACCTCTCCACCTCACCTGGGCCTTGCCCTGCCACTGACAAGCATCTGAGCTTGTGTCCCTCCCTTGCCAACCCTTTACTGCCACCAGCCCTTTGGTGATCTCCACATCTCCTCCTCCTTCAGCAGAGGGAGAACCTGCGGGTGTTGATGTTCATCTTGGTCACTCCAATGACCTTCAGTGGGGTGGAGAGGCTGAAGGAGGAGGCCAAGGGGGAGTCGCAGAAGAGGTCAGACAGCTCGTCCCGTTCCTCCAGCTCGTAGGTGGCGTCATTGAGCATCCTCCGGTGAAGGTGGCAGGTCTGCTCGATCTTCAGCTTGTTGATGTCGCTGCGGAGGCGCATCAGCTGCCGGGCCAACTGCTGATCCTGCAACCGCATCTCTGCCTGGGGGCCAAAAATTAGCACAGAGTTTGCAGTAAGCAAGAGGCTGCCTTTATCCTGTCTAGCAGGAGACTTAATAAAGTTAGGGGCTGTAAGTGCACAAACTCATTTACCCCAGGGACAAAGACACAGAGATACCATGCTGAAAATGGACACGTGGTCAAAGACAGATACAGCGGCAGAGACCCCGCCTTAGCAATGGAGACAGATACTGGACGCATCCAGGGAAATTGGGGGAGATGGGTCCTAAACCCTTTTCTGCCAATCACATGATACCTGATCTCATAGAACATCCTTATTTGCTCAGTATTCCCCACATGAGAAAGGGGAACAATTTTTAGTAAAAATGCTGTTCATTTAGGAAGCACTTGTTTGGGAACCTCCATTACCTCATTTAATAATAATCATAATAGCATCTAACATTTATATAGTGCTTATTATGTGCCAGGCACTATGCTAAATACTTTACAATTATTATCATATTTGATCCTCACAACAACACTGGGAGGTAAATACTGTTATTATCCTCATTTTACAGTTGAGGAAACTGAGGTAGACAGAGGTAAAATGACTTGCTCAGAGTCACACAGCTAGGAAATGTCTGAGGCCAGATTTGAGCTCGGGTCTTCCTGATTCCAGGCCCCAGAGCTCTATCCACTGCAACAATTAGCTGTCAGTGGCCCTGTCAGAAAGGCAAAAAAAAGTATTGTGATTCCTGTTTTCCAGATGAAGAAACTGAAGCTCAGAAACTAAGTGACTTGCCCTGGGTCACACTGCTAATTTTTGTCAGCATAAGGACTTAAACCCAGACCTTCTAACTCCTGTTCTGGTGCTCTTTCTTTACGATATGTTACTGGTCAATATCCATTTCTAGTCCATACTTTGTCGCTAACTGGTCACATGACCTTGGATAAGGCACTTCTCTCTGGCAGGGAGTTGGAAAAAATGAGCTACTCTAAAGTTCTTCCAGTTCATAGTCATGGATAAAGAGACAACACGGTGTGTAGTGGAACCAGGAAAGCTGTTCATTCATTTCAGTCGTGTCTGACTCTTCATGACCCCATTTGGTGTTTTCTTGGCAAAGATACTGCAATGGTTTGCCATTTCCTTCTTCAACTCATTTTACAGATGAGGAAATTGAGGCAAGCAAGTGACTTGCCCAGGGTCACACAGCTAGTAAGCATCAGAGGCAGGATTTTCTGTTGCCCCCAGAACTAGGAAAACTTAGATTCAAATCCTGCCTCTGATGCTTACGAGCTGTGTGACCGTGGGCAAGTCATTTAACCTCTAAGTCTCAGTTGCCTTATCTGGAAAATGGGGGTAATGACACCATCTTCTTCATAGGAATGTTGTAAGGATTGAATGAGATCATGTATGTAGAACAATTTTCAAACCTTAAGAGTTCTGTAAAGATAAGCTGTTATTTAGAGAAGAAAGGATTATAGGATCAAGTAATAGAATTTAAAGGTAGAAGGGACCTCAGAGGTCATCTAGTTCAACTCCTCCATTTTACAAATGAGGAAACTGAAACTCATGTCAGTTAAGTGACTTTTCCAAGGTCACACAGGTAGCAAGTAGCCAATTCAAGATTTATACTGAGGTCTTCAGATTCCAGCTTCTCATTCCATTATGCCCCACTCCCTCTCTCAGCTGATGTTTGCAAAATGCTGTGCACGTATTACCTCATTTTTTAAACATTCATCTCTCAGGGAACGAGTCAAGCCTTGAAGACTTGTGTCTCCCCTCTTGTACATTCTGGATATCAGACTCTCCTCAGAAATGCTTGAGCTTTGGTGTGCTTTAGACCTTCTAGAGCTGTGACCTTGGGGCAAAACAGGTTCTCTCACTACCTGGGCTTGCTGCCTGTCCCCCCAGATTTCCTGAGTTCTTCCTCCTTGCTGTTTACTCTGCCTCAACTTGCAGAGAGCAACTGTTTTGCTGATTTTGTGAAGTCATGGCTAAGCTATGTAGTACACCCTTTGTTAATGGTGAACCTTCCTGGTGCTGGAGCCAAATGGATTTGAACAAAGCATCTTGGGATGCCAGGCAGAAACTCAAGCCATCAAGAAAGCTAAAGCATGTTTTCCTGCTCCCACTGTCCCTTGGGTTTTGGAGATATCTGCCTTACCTTAAGAAAACTTACATTCTTAAAAACAATGCAATCTTTAGGAGGACAGAGTGATTTTAGCCCAATCTCTATTCTGTCCATTTCACAGACAGATCAAAGAAAGACATTTGCCCAGGCTCACACTGATAGTTAATAGCAATGCACCATAACTGGTCAGAGCTAGAAGGAACGTTAGAGGTTTCATTTTACAGATGGGGAAACCAAAAACCCAGAAATGCTAATGACTTGTACAGTAAGTATTTACTAAAGCAGTGTTTGGATTGGACTGACTTGGACTGAGTAGACTAATTATAGGATGTTTTCTGTTATACATGGCTTCTATTTTTTTCTCCTGGCCAGGATAAAGAACCTGAGTTCTTGCCAGAATTTGCCTGTTTTAAGCCTTACCCTTGGGACTAGGCTTGTTCCCAAGGAATGCTACCTGGTGATTATTAACTTTCCAAATTATTTTTTCACCCCATTCTTGGTCCATTATGGGAAATATGGAATGCGCTGCTTTCCTAATTGCTCACTCCCAGGGTGGCCTGAGCAAAAGTGGCCTGAGCAAAGGCACATCCCATCTTGGTATGACAGATTTTTTTCAGAGGAGAGATAATAGCATTTACTTGGTTCTTAGGGGTGTGACTTGTTCTCCAGCTAAACCTTTAATTACTGTAATTGACTTGACGAAAGAATTTTAAAATCTTATGGTGTTAGGGGGAATAGGTAGTTTAGCTCCTTATGGTTGTCCTAAGCGTATGGGACTTTGCTGTCTTCCCAAGTCAACAAGCAGTTATTAAATGCTTACTGTGTGCTAGGCATTGTGTTAAACACTGAAGATACAAAGAAAGTAAACACAGTCCCTGCCCTCGAGGAGCTTACAATCTAATTGAGGGCTTGATCTGAACTCAGGAAGATGAGTTTTCCTGACACCTGGCCCAGCTCTCCATCCACTGTTCCACCTAGCAGCCTCAAGTGGGTTACTTAGGGAGGTGTAAAATGATTGCCTTGCCATAGTTAGGGCCCCGTTGTTGGGCCTTTGCAGTGGATCTAGTCAGCATATTTCATGGTCTTCTCCAACCTTGTCCAGCAGTATGTAGGAGTGAAGGCTGTGGATAGTGGGAGTAATCCAAAGTTGAAACTTGGCAGGGCTAGATCAGTGGTAAGATAAGGGGGCAAGGAATTCAAGAAGAGGACAGAGTGGAGTTGAACTGGCTCATCAAGAGGTCAAGATGAGGAAGAGAGGACAGTGTAGCTGATGTAGGGGTGATGGCCTGGGAGAGAACTGAGGGATTGAAGGTCATGGTGTGAATGAAGAACAGGGTTTGGGGGAGCAGCTAGGTGGGGCAGTGGATAGAGCACCAGCCCTGGATTCAGGAGGACCTGAGTTCAAATCCAGCCTCAGACATATGACACTTACTAGCTGTGTGACTCTGGGCAAGTCACTTAACCTCATTGCCTAGCCAAAAAAAAGAAGAAGAAGAAGAAGAAAAGGGTTTGGGACTGCAAGGCAGAAAGAGAGAGAGGTGGAAATACAGATTGTGATCAGATAAGAGAATTTCAGAGTTCATGAATATGGAAATGGTGCCTTTTTGGATGATGGTCAGGATCAAGGTCATGGCCAGCTTTGTCTTTGGAGGAAGTTGGATGGATATTTAGTTCGTGTGAGATGAGTAAATTGAGGAATGATGAGGTCAGGGTGTTTGTGAGAGTGAAAACAGGTAGGGTTGAAGTTCCTTAGCATGTGGTCAGGAGCTGATTAGAAGAGAAAGTCTGTGAGTCAAGTATTGAACTCATTGAGGAAGAAAGGGGAGCGACTTGGAGGTCTACAGACAATAGCTACCAGAACTTTGGGTGGTAGACATTGACTGAATGAACCCCCAAGGAGGAGAGGTTACTGAGTGATGATGGAAGAGGGACAACCTGGACGTGGCAATGGGAAGAAGGGATATCCCAACTCCCCTACCGCGACTAGTTAGTCAGGGGGATAAGTGAAAGTACAGCCAGGCCTGGAAAGGAAGGCCAGGGATGCTATGTGATCAGGAAGAAGGCAGGTTTCTCTGAGAGCCATAAGGTGGAAGGAGTGGGAAAGGAAAAAAAAATTAAGATTTGAGGAAGTCTGTTACCTACGGAGAGGCATTCCAGACAGCACAGTGGAAGTAGCTTTGGATGGGCGGATGGGTTGGGTTGAGGGGAATGGGAATAAAGGATTAGGCAGTGTGGATTGAATGGGGTTTTGATGACAGCCAAGGTTCAGAATCACTAATATGGTGAGGGTATAAACATGGGGGAAGCATGTTCATCATTGAGCAATCAGTTCAGGTAGGTTTTCATTACATTGCCCATAGGGGTTTGGCCTTAGGAGTTCAGGTGAGGGGACAAGTTCTGGGATTCTGATGGAATAGTGTTAGTCCTCCAAGACAAGAGGTGAGGCTCAAGATATGATATAATGGCCTTTCTCCTCTTCCCTGGAAGGAAGGAATCTGGTGTTTCTTTTCTCTGTGAGGGAGGCAGAAGACCCAGCAGGAGACCCGGCATGTTGGAGTTTTCTCTCCTTACTCTAAAGGCAGGAGACTGGTGCCCAAAGGAATGGCATTCTTTTCTTCCAGCAGGAAGTTGGAGACTTGGTGCAGTGGAATGGTGTTTCTCCCTTTTCTGTGAAAGGCTGGAGACTAGGCATGGGACCTGGAACAGTGGAACGACATTTTCTCCCCTTATCTTAAGGCAGGAGTCCTGTTGCAATAGAATAGTGTTTTCTGGAAGTCTTTGATCAGAACCTGGACAACCGTTTATTGGGTATGTTACAGGAAGGATTCCTTTTAGAGAATACCTTTAGCCCCAAATATCTCTTCAAACTCTAAAATTCTGTGATTCTGTGAACTACACATCTCATGAA